CAATGATCAGCTATTACATTTTAAAAATATAATGAGAGGCTTCGATGAGAGCAGTATCTTAAGAAACAGAAAATGTATCCTTATTTCTTATAAATCACTGGCTTGACATGGCATCAATAGTAAACACTGTTTGTTCTATTTCCTTATTTCAACACCATAATCACAATGCCATGACCTCTGCTTCACTAAGCCAAACATCCTTCAGCATTCCCAGCACTTTATCGTATCTGACAAAACAACCTTCCCTAACCTCATGCCCTCTAGTTATGTTGGCTGTTGGGGATGATAGCAACCCAAGACATCTGAGGGGGCACAAGTTGGGGGGGGCACTGACAAATCAGCCTATAATTTATGGACTAAGGTTGTTTCTGTGAGCTAGAAATCACTATGTGTCAGATGTGTGAGATAGAGATCTAAATGGGTACAGATATACCATGAATTCAAAGAAGAGAGGGGAAGACAGAACTCACCCTGAAATCAATTTTGAAAAAACAGCCAGTCTGTCACATTACTGTGTAGAACAGGGGAGAAAAAAGAGACAAGATAACAACCAAATGCCTGCAAGGATACGGTAAGACATGTAGTGCAATCCAGTGAATTTCTCTGAAGATGCTAGCCACAGATGCTGGCGAAACGTCAGAAAGAAACTCTTCTAGAACATGGCCACACAGCCCGAAAAAACCCACAAAAAAACCTATGGATGCCGTCCATGAAAGCCTACGACTTCAAATCCAGTGAATGTTTACACAGGTGCAGGTTTCACTGTAGCCAAAGGGGCTTATTCTCTCAATCAGGATGGACAACTGTAGCAGATCGGGGACCATTTTGTGTCCCTGGGGCTTTCCAAATTATGTGACCAACTTATGTTGTTGTGAGCCTTCAAGTCATTGCTGACTTATGGTGACCCTAAGCCAAATCTATCACAGGGTTTTCTTGGCAAGATTTGTTCAGAGGAGGTTTGCATTTCCTTTCCTGGCTTGCCAAGGTCACCCAGTGGGTTTCTATGGCTGAGCAGGGATTTGAACCCTGGGGCTGCAATGTCCTAGTCCACCACACAAGCCACTACACTATGTTGGCTCTCAAATTATAACACATACATTCCCCAAACCAAACCAGAAGTGGTCAGAGGCTGGTACCTGGTTTTGAGATGCTGGTTTTGTTTTTGTTAAATTTATGTTAAATTGTTAAACCTATTTTAAAAATAATTGATGCTCCTAGTCCTTTGGGACAGGTAATGTTGATTGCATATATGTAAAAATGATAATTGAATGGATACAATTCATGCACACATATTTTTAACTTTTGTAAACCACCTTGAGTCCCAAACTGGGGAAAAGGTGAGATATAAATCAATACAATGGCCAGTATTCTATATCAGCTACTTAGGCTGCTGCCACAGTGCAGAATTAAAGCAATTTGACATCACTTTAACTGTCAGGGCTCCATGCTTTGGAATCCTGGGTTTTGTAGTTTGATGTGGCACCAGAACTAAATATCTCATTGAACTACAAATCCCAGAATTCCATAGCGCTGAGCCATGGCAGTTAAAAACAGTGTCAGACTACATTAATTCTGCAATGCAGATGCAGACTCAGTTAAATATGTATGCAATTAAATACCTTCTCCTAGTCTGACATCCCCAAATATGATGGAAGCACCATTCACCCGTGCTCTGATCGCCAGCAGAATGGACTTCCTTCTCCCCATACTGCTGATGCCCAATAAAGTAGGTTGGTGAGGAGTTGTGATCATGGCAATAGTGTTCCAATCATGTCTAAGTGATCATGAATATGGAACAGTTGTTGGACTAGGACTCTGGAGACCAGGCTTTGATTTGCTACTTGTCCATGAAACACACTTAGTGATCTTGGGCAAGTCATATGCTCTCAGCCTCAGGAGAAGGCAATGGCAAACCTCCTCTGATCCCCATCACAGGGTCTCCTTAGAGTCGCCATAAGTCAGAAACGACTTGAAGACATGCAACAACAGCAACAACTTAGACTTAGTCATCTGTAATTATTTTGTATTCACAATCACTACTTGGTCATAATTGGGACACTATTGCTATGATCATAACTCCCCCACAAACCTACATCAGCTGCATGGAAGGTCCATTCTACCAGCTGTCCAAGTCCAGGTGAATGAAGTTTCCATCAAGTTTGGAGGGGAGGGGTTGAGGTCAGGAAAGGTTACTTAGGTCCAAATCACACTGCAGAAATAATCCAGTTTGAGACTGCTTTAACTACTCTGGCTCAATGCTAGAGAATTCTAGGAACTGTAGTTTTGTGAGACATTTAGTCTTCTATGACAGACAGCTCTGGTGCCACAATTAACATAATAAACATCCCAGGATTCTCTACACTGAGCCAGGGCAGTTAAAGTAGTCCTGAACTGGGTTATTTCTGCAGTGTGTTTTGGACTTTAATTAACTATACTTAACTAAATAGGTGATGTAGAATATTGGCTAAAACTACTACTACTAATAATAAATGCAAGGGTCCCATGTGGGTCCCATTATAAGATGGTACAGAGTGTTCTGCACCAAGGCATCTGTCTTTAGAAATGGGATACTATTTTTATTGTTGTTGTTGTTGTATGCCTTCATTTCATTTCTGAGTTATGCTGATCCCAAGGCCCCTATCACAGGATTTTCTTGTTTGTTCAGAGGGAGGTTGCCATTGCCTTCCTCTACAGCTGAAAGAGTGTGACTTGCCAAGGTCACCCAATGGGATTCCATGGGCAAGCAGGGATTCAAACCCTAGTCTCTCAGTTTCCTAGTCCAGAACTCAAACCACTCCAGTATGCTGGCTCTCATTTGGAAAGTGCAGCCTCGCATATGTTGTTGGATTGCAACTCTAAGCAGCCCTCACCACTGAGTCTGCTGGCTACAACAAACAAACAGCCCAACAAAAGTGGAAGGCCACACAAAAGTAGAAGATCACACATTCCCCAGCCCTATTGCAGAGATTGCCAAGCAATGCTGTCAGATTTTTAGCAAGGAATTATCTTGCTGTTGTTGCTAACTGCTTGTATGGCTTAGATCCAGGCTATTTGGCAGACTGTATCTCCTTCTAAGAGCTGGCCGGGGCTCTGAGATCCTCAAGGGAGGCCCTTCTCTCCATCCCACAACCATCACAATCACAGTTGGTGGGGACATAAGAGAGGGCCTTCTCTGTGGCTGCCCCAGACTCTGGACTCCCTGGCCAGGGAGACCAGAATGGCCCCTTCTTTGATGGCCTTCCGCCAACAGGTGAAAACCTTCCTTTTCAGATAGGCATTCAAAACAGATAACTTTTAAAAAATGTATTATTTTTTATGTTTTTAATTGCATTGTTTCTTAATGTTGTAAGCTGCCCTGAGTCCCAGTCCTGGGAGAAGAGCAGGATATTATTATTATTATTATTATTATTATTATTATTATTATTATTATTATTATCATCATCATCATCAACAACAACAACAACATCCATCAAGGCTACATCTGCACTGCAGAAATAATTGAGTTGGACACCACTTTAAATGCTTAGGTGCCACAACAAACTACAGTTCCCAGAATTCCATATCATTGAGCCATGGCAGTTAAAGTGGTGTTCAACTCGATTATTTCTGCAGTGCGGATGCAGCCCAAGTTAACTTTGATTTATGGCAACTCTATGAATGAGAGATATTCAAGTCACCTTACCATCAACAGCCCTGCTCAGGTCTTGCAGACTGAGGGCCATGGCTTTCTAGATTGAGTCTCTCCATTTAGTATGTGGTCTTCCTCTTTCCTACTGAAGCATTATTGTCTTTTCATGATATGTCCAAAGTATGACAGTCTCCATTTAGTAATTTCAGCTTCTAGGGAAAATTCAGGTTTAATCTGTTCTAATAGCCCATTTATTTGTTTTTTTCAGCAGTCCATGATATCTTCAATAACAGAGCTGATGTAATAATAAAGCAACCTTTGGATCAAGTAGCACCAATAACAAGGTTAATCAAAAGAAGGCCATCCTCTCAAACGAACTGCAGCAAATTTGGCTTTTATAAGAGATAATCAAGGTTAAGACTACAGAAGCCATAAAAAGCATCAAACTCTACCCAGAGGAATTTAGAGACTTTTTTTTAAATAAAAGCCTTTGTATTTTTTTTAAGCAGGGGAAAAACACAGATAAAGAGGGGGGGAATCAAAGCAAAAATAAAGATCACACACAGGGTGCCAATAAATAATAGAGCATATTTCCAACTATATGTAAGGAACAAGATTTGAGGTCAGAGGCAACACAAGAGATTGCTCATCTATAGAGTCAAGGGTCCAATTGCCCTAAAAAGGAACAGAGACACGGCAAGGGAAGACGTGAGATAAACATTGTATTGCCAAGGTTTCTTGAGAGAGGGAGGGGAATGGACATGTCTGTAGGAGAAAAATGATATACCAAAGAATTCAGTCATGCAAGAGCAAAGGCACTTTCACATTATAGAATTAAAGCTCTAGGATTCCACTTTAGCTATCATGGCTGCACCTTACAAAATCCTGGGATCTGTAGATTGACAAAGCATTAGCAATCTCTGCCTGATAATTCAAAATGCCCCTTCCCAAACTGCAGATCCCAGGATTCCACTGGATACAGCCATGAAAGTGAATCATGGTGTGATGGGAAAGTGTCACAGGAGACAAAGATGACAAAAATGTCATCTCTGACCCAACAATAAGCTCCCAACTGCTCCTGCAGCAGTTCCAAGAATGGCCAACTACATGGTGTCAAGACTTCCCTCCTCCCTCCCCCTTGCTATTTCCAAACAGGCTGGTTTTATTTTCTTTTTCACTTTATTTTTTCTTTCATCTTTGTTTCACTAAATGATGTGGGTTGTGTGCCTTCAAGTCGTCTTCAACTTATGGCAACCCTAAAGCAAACCTATCATGGGTTTTTCTTGGCAAGATTTGTTCAGAGATGGTTTGCCATGGCCTTCCCCCAAGGCTGAGAACATGAGACTTGCCCAAGGTCACCCAATGGATATCATGGCTGAGCTGAGAATTGAACCCTGGTCTCTAGAGTCATAGTCCAACACTCAAACCATTACGCCACACTAACTTGAAATGCCATAACTCTGAAATTGTGTTACAGATACAAATACAAATCCATTTTTTAAAAATTAAAGGGATGCATAAGACAGGGAAGTGTGGAAGAGAACACTAGGACCGTTGATGGCAGAAACAACCCTCATTGCACTAGTGGAGACACGTACAACAAGAAAAGCTCTCAGACTAGTTAGTATCTATTTCCTCTTAGTAACACGATGCTGGTTAAAACAAGACTCATGTGATAAAGTCCTACAAATCAAAGTATTCCATAGAACAAAGCTGTAGGAGTTAAAGTGGTATTGAATTGTTATAATCTGTAGTATGGATACAACCCCCCAGTCTGGGAGAAAGGCACAATATAAATGAAGTGATGATAAGTATGTTGATGACAATGACAACATACAGCTTAGGTTTGACTCAACTAGTTTGTAGATTCCATCCTTAACTGAAAATATCTGAAATGCTAAAAATGATTTAAAAAAAAAAGCTTCTAAAGAAATGCAGCTCTTAGGAGCAGAATATTTTTATTATCATGAGTGGTGCCAATTTTAAAGGCAATAAAAAGAGTCTAATAGCCTGGCGCCCAGGGATCAGGGCTGTGTCTGTATTGGTAACCTAAAAATTTTGCTTACAGTGTTAACCTCTCAAGATAACCATTCTATTTGCATTCCAAGGGGGAGAAAGCCATCCAATATTGCTGCTCCTAGCAATGATGATATCTTTATTAGCTGCCAAGGGTGAAAAGCACAGGGTGGCCAACATTTGCTGATGGAAACAAAATTATTTAGGTTAGTCAAGATGGCAGGAGGATTTAGAAAAAAACACCAAAACCTCAGGGAGTTAGTCAAGCTAAGTAATTGGGCAGCAGGGCACCAAATAATTTTCTACGTTTACAGCTGGACTGTCTGGAGCAGTTTAAACTGCTTGTAAACCCTGATGAGCCCTGAATGAGGTATAACCTCTAAAGGGGAAAAGAAATCAAGGCATCATTGCCAGAAGTTCAATCAAGATGTCAGAGCAACCTGAAACCACAGCAGTTGTAAAGTTACATGGGAGGCTGTAAGAGCTTGTTGGGAAAGACATGGCAAGGCAAAATCTTCCTATGTTCGAACTGTTTGTAGTCTTCTGACCCACTTAGTTTCAGTTTAATGTTACCCATCCCTTCAAAATTGATGCTTCACACAAAGTTTGAGAAACTTATTATTTGGGGCTGCAGCTCCCAGAACGCCTCAGCCAGCTGACAGAAGGATTCAGGGAGAATAGTAAAAAATAAAATAAAATAAATAGGATGGTTGGATTTCAACATAAGTGGACTTACATGAGTGGGAAATAGAATGAAGTGGTTTTGCAGTGTCTACACTCACCGAGGGGCTGCTGTGACATTACAACATATTGGCTGTCACACACTACTGTTGCACAATGGTAGTCAGTGAAGAAACTGATGTGCCACAGGCCCAATGAATAATAGACACCAGTGTGCATTTGAGCAGTATCAGTGAGCATTTTGACACCATCTAGGGGGTACCAGTCCACAAGAGGAGTGCCCAAGGTGAATAAGGAGTGCCTCGTGTTCATCAGAAGTGCCCAATGAACATGAGAAATGTCCAATATGCATCAGAAAGAAGTGTCCTTTAAACAACAGAAACATCCCATGTGTATCCAAAGTGTCCCATGTGCATCAGAAGTGCCCAATGAGCATGAGAAATGCTCAAAATACCTCAGATGTATCCAATGCACATCAGAAGTGACCAGTACTCACCAATACTCACTGGAACACTCTTGCAAGTGCTCAGATGCACATCTTCACAATTCACTAGCAAGGTTTCATTGGATTCTTGTTATGTAGCTAAGACTTCTAAAAATTATCAAATGTAGACCATGATATAGACAAAACAAAAGGGCAGATCTACTCCCTTGAATTGGTGTGAGCAACTATCTGAGGTCTGGAGACTACACTATATTCAGGCGTTATTGGCCTTTAGCATCATCCCATGTTTGTCCAACTTTAAAAAATATATTCAAAATGTCCCGTGACCCCCTCCCATGGAACTCAGAGGGTTGTTGTTTTTTGCAATGCTTCTGGCACCTCCTATATGAGGCACACAAGAGGCCTTTTTAAAATAATAATAATAATAATCACAACAACAACAATAGTCAGTTCCAATTTTGAAAAAGATTTCCTGGGCATAGAACAATCTGGGGAAAGGGCAAAAACATTGCAAATTTGCTCCCACGTCCCCTAGACAATGGAGGGGGGGAGGAGGTCACAGATCTCCAGGGCTTCAAGGTGAGTGGGAAGAATTTCAGGCTGAGAGCATTGCTTGAAAAATGAGTGTGTGTATTCAATTCTGGAGACTAGGATTCAAATCCTCGCTCAGCCATGAAAACCCACTGGTTGACCTTGGACAAGTCTCAGCCCCAGAATACACTATCATAGGTTAGTCTTAGGGTTACCATGAGTTGGAAATGACTTGAAGGCACACTACGATGATGACGACAACAACAACAACAACAACAACAACAACAACAACAACAACAACAACAAGATGTATGGCAGGCATCCTGTTCAGTATTTATGAGGTTACAAAATCTAACTCATGACATCCCCAATTTTTGGAATTCACATTTACAATTGTTGCATCCTAAAACTTACCATCAAAGCCAGGCAGCCCCACCAACAGCAGGATTTCTGAGGCTCTGTGGAGTGAAGTGGTAAGAGAAAAATTGTTCACCCCTCTTCCTGCAGTAAGGTGCTTTGTGACACCTGTCATCTTGACTAACCACACAGAGTCTATCACTCCACATCGTTTTTGCTGGTCATTTGCTGGATTTAAAGCCACTCAGCTGATTGACATTACAAAAGAAAACTTGGGAGTAGGGAAGGAATCACAGAACTACAAATAATGTGGTTCCACCCTCACTAAAGCCAATTCCTATTCCTATGGAAGTGAATACTCCAAATAATGAAGAACAGAAGGGTCTTAGAGGCAACTGTCAGTGTCCATGTCAGTGGGGCTGTGCATCCACTCCAAGTCTTAAAGGAGCTATCCAAAATATCCCAAATAAGTGCAGCACCATGAATAGCTCCTTTAAGGTTTGGACTAAAACCATGAGTGGATTCACTGTCCTGCTGACAGAGCCAACACTGGCTGCCACTGGGACTTATGCTAGACTAGAAGAGGTTCCTCACTTCTATATTTCCTGAAAGTCTCTAGAGCAGCTTTTCTCAGCCTTTTTACTCTGGAAGAACCCTTGAAATTTATTCAAAGACATAGCTGTGTTAGTCTAGAAAATCAATATGCAAAGGGATCTTGTAGCACCTTTGAGTTTAGGGACCAAAACATACTGCAGAAATAATCCAGTTTGAGAC